CGCGACCATCACTCCTATCTTTCCCCCTGCTGATCCCTCGTCCCTCGTCCCTGGCCGTATCGAGCCCATCGCCCGCGCATGCGGTTGTCGTCGAGATCGAGCGGCCGGTAACCGCGAGTTGTGATGAATCGAGGGCGCCGATTTGCCAGATGCGAGGTCGCCGTCGTGGGCCAGGGCGGGGCCGCCGATAAGGAGCTGGTGCCGACTGAGCCATGTCCTCGTGCGCGATGTCGTTGCGGCGATACGGTCCGTCGGCAGCCGGGTGCTGGAAGATGTTGTGTGAGCGCCATGCCGAGCCGGGAAAGAGTGAGGTCGTCGAGGCGAGAGCGAGAGGCCACCGCACTGCCACCGGGCGTTGAGTAGCGCAATCAAGTGCGTGTCCGGACGCGCGCGAAGTCAGAGCGCCACAAGCACTCCCCGGCACTAGACTTGTATATCACTCGTGCCTCAATATATGTTGATATATGACCCTAGCTCGCTATGTGAGCCTGTGTGCATCCAGCCATCCAGTCTAGTCTGCACCGAGACCCAGAACTTGTGGCGCCCTTGTTAGTGATGCCCGGCTGGTACTCTTTCCAGGTACGCATCATGCCATGACGAGTATTTTGCAGATATTAACACCCCGACGTTTCCAGATATAAAAGAGACCTCAAATGCAGCCGGTTGAGAACATTGGTACAATGTCCTCTGTCGCGCCATCTGACTCGCCCTCGAAGCGGACCCGTTCTCAAACGGGGCCGTCTGCAGTTGCTCGACATCCGTCTCCCATTCGACAGCGTAAGAGACGTCATAATGACGCGTCAGAATCCGATCTGATGGACATGTCGGACCGAGAGGTGTGGGCCAAGCCTGACGCCGAAATACTCGGTAAATACTCAGTTCACTCAGCATGTATGCCCTAACATTGGTTTTGACATATGTAGCCGCCGTATCCCGTTATTGGAGCTCACCTGTGTACAATCACTTCACGACAAGTCTCGAACGGGTGCACGATGTACACGGACAACCGTCGCTGATCAATATCGTCTTCACATGCAAGAATCATCCTGATACGCATGGTGCTCATAAGAGACCACGTACCAAGAACTCACAAGGTACAGTCGAGCTCCTGTTGATGAGATATACACGCTCATCCCTGTGGTAGGAACCACTAATCTTGCAAAGGGTGTCGCGAAGTGCGAGAAGCGGCACGGTTCAATTCCGAATGCTGCAGCCCAGCAGACAACTTTGCACAACACAATCTCCTCGTACAATCCGTTACGCCATCGCGCACTTATCGCGCTGCGCTGCTCTGCAAGTCACCGATCATTCAACTCTGTCCTCGACGCCGATTATAGAGCAGAAGTCGAGATGCTCCGCCCCGGAACAACACTGCCGTCTCCGCTCACAGTTTCCCGCGACGCAAAGGCCATTTACGAAGAAGGTGCGTGCCGTATCAAGGACATCTTATCTAAGGTGAGTATGCCTTACAGAGGCCATGTTTCTCAAGCTAACAGCATCTTTATGGAAGATGAATGGTCGCATTCACCTCGTCGTAGATGGGTGGACTGCCCCATTCTTTGGGACGTCCTGGCTTGGAGTTGTAATCATCTGGTGGGATCTAGGAGCCAAGAAGATTCGGCGTGTCATTCTGGAGTTTGCGAGGTATGTGATTGTTCACGATTGAGCCGACGAAATATTGATTTTGTGAAGGCTCACGTCGGCGCATACTGGTGACTACCTTGCCGGAGAACTCATAAATTGTCTTTCCCGTTTTGGACTCACGGAGCGTGTACGTCTTCGAGCTTGACTCACTCAAAAGCTATACTCACAAGGCCTTGTAGCTCCTTTCTATATGTCTCGATAATGCGGGGAACAACGACACGATGGTCACCAAAATGGGTGACGATATTGCTTCATTCAAGGGCATGGCCTGGCGTGGACGGTGTGCGCCACATACCGTGAATCTCTGCGCTAAGGTTTGTAGATTCCGCATGGTGACTTACATGCATTGCTGACATTACACTAGGCCTTCATGGCACACTTCTCTGCTCGGCCGAAGAAGGCAAAGAAGATTGCCGTCCGCGTGAGCAATGGAAGGCAAACCCGGCTTCCTGCTCTTCCTACCATCGAAGAGGTAGTTCTCGAAGATGGCGAGGAGGAAAATGAAGCTGACCTTGCCGCCGATGATCCCGAGCCGGAAGAAGAAGTCGGTGACCCCAGCAGGATTGCCCATGACACGCATGTGGTACGGAGTGTTTACGAACAGGCAATCCGTGATTGCTCGGAACGCTATCGTATCGGTCTTGATGCCAGAAGCCAGAAAGAGGCCCTCGGGCTGTTTCCGAAGGTATTGTCTGCTGTTTATAGGGCAGTTCCAAAGCTAATACATATCAATAAACAGGTCGCCGGTCTTGCTCGCCGTGTTCATGATTCGTCGGGGCTTCAAGAGAAGTTTGACCGGCTTGTCGCTGCTGACCCTGTGATGGCAGGACAGAAGCGTGCGCTAGATCACCGTGTCGCAACTCGCTGGAACTCGGACTTCGACTGCTTGTCGGCACACGTCTATTTCAAGAAACAAGTCAAGCAGTTGACGAACGACGATGAGAACAAACTTGAGGCATACGCTCTTACGCCCTCACAGTGGAAGCTTGCGGAGCAGCTCGTCAGTGTGTTGGAGGTATGTCCAAACATGTTGTGCTTAATCCTGCATTACTGAACCAACTTCGCAAAGATATTCAATGCACCTACAAAGCTCTTCTCCCAAGGCGATGTCCCGATGATATGCGAGACCGTTCCAATGCTCGAAACACTTGAGGCGCAGCTTGAGGCTGTACGCGACCAGAAGCATGCGCAGCTTCCGAATGTTATTCGGATTGCGGCACAGGCCTCACTACTCGTTGTCGGCAAGTACTACGCTCTCAGTGACGACAACGAGATTTATCGTATTGCAATGGGTGTGTCTATGAAGACTCGTTATGCTGCTGCTAATTAACTGACCCATGCACTTCTCGTAGTTCTATGCCCGTGGAGAAAATTGCAGTGGTTCATTGATCGTGAATGGACTACCGAAGACATCAAGATCGTCAAAGAAATTACGATACGTACATTCAATGACCTTTATGTTGACAACTCGTCTCCTACCGCCGTTGCTGCCACCTGCTCGACAGCTGCGCCACTAGCACGCCAGGTAAGTCATCCACACCATAACCTACCCGGACCAAATTCGAGCATGTCGGCAGAGTTCTATATGGGCATCGAATCCCCGACCGGAGCCATCAAACCTGCGCACCGTGCTTCAAGATGATACCATTGAGAGTTATCTCAATGCTGCCGTTGTACCCGAAGACGTCATCCAAGCCACTGGCGGCCTCCTCGAGTACTGGAGTGGTCAAGCAGCCAAGTACCCCCGCTTGGCTAGATATGCTCTAGACTTTTGTTCCGCACCCGGTACGTCATATTGAGTGAATTCCTCATATTGATCACTCATATACTGTATGCAGCGTCTTCTGTAAATGGCGAGCGGGCGTTCTCCAGTGCTCGCCTCCAGGTCAATCATACCCAGCACAACATTGCCCCTCACACATTCAGGGCGAAGATGGCTGTCGGCTCATGGCGTAAAGAAGGTCTGCTTGACGATTTGGACGATGTCGCGTCCATGCTTGGTCGCGGAAAGAATGGTCGACGTACGGCAGTAGAGGTGCCATCTGGGGCAACAAGCACCGCAGCTAGTATAGTGATTGAAGTTGATTCTGACGGATGTACATAGCACTACCCGGGTAATCACTACCCGGGTAATACTACGATCCGTACCCGTACCCAACCTGTATCCGCGAGACGATACCCGGGTAGGTACAATCTCACTCTCTCAAGTCAAAAATACCCACAGTTGGGTCCCGGGTATATCCGGGTATACCCATGTTAGACCCTACCGACGCGCCATGAATATTTGAGTATCGACCCGAGGGAAGAGGAGTTCTCGTGGATGCTATGTCACCTAGTTAGGAGAAGCACATGAACTGCGACTGACCCGCCCAACACCGGCTGGCTACATTCGCCCGCCTGAGCTCACCCCAGGAGGGTGTATGTAGCGAGCAGGGCAGTAGGCTAGAATGATCCTACCAAGCTCGAGGGGAGTTGGCTCATAGTATATACGCCAAGAGGAGGGACCCTAGTCATCCCTGATGCCAAGCCCCAAAGGCCCATGGACGCGACGGTCAGGTGACCCTTTTCCTGCAAGGCCCTGGTCGTGGTTCTGAGCTGGAGTGAGGAACGAACGTAGGCGCAAGAACGTAGTCTATGCGCGGGCAGGCGTTGCAGTGGCGGTGCATTCTCTTCCTCGCCATCCGCACCGTCCGCTACCGAGTCTAGCATACGGCGAGCTCGCACAGGGCCGCCGTAACTCGTATTTTGCACAACAGAAACTAGTACCAACACTCTTTAATAATTAGTCTCAAAACATTCTCTTGAACCCCCCCGGTGAGAGCATCATGCCACGTATCGACGTTAACCCACATGAACAGGTCGCACCGAACTTTGCAGGGGCTGCTTTCGCCGCCTGCAGGCAATCCATGAGCAATCAAGATGGCTTGACGGACGAGCAAGCGGCGCAAGCCCTTCTAGATGCGTGGACCAACAACATCAATCAAGAGAAGGCCGCGTGGGACCGGCAGGTCGAAGAGGACCGGGAAGCCGCACGCCTTGCGGAGAAGGAGAGGCTCGAGCGCGAGGCAGCGGAAAAAGCCGAAGAGGAGAAGGAGGCCGCGAAGAGTCGGCCCAAGGTCCCGATACACATTAAGGACCGAATGGTCGGTCACGAGTCCACCCTGTCGACCGACGACAAGGCCCTCAAGAAGCTCCGGGCGTATAAGTACATCAAGATGTGGTTCTTCGGAGCTGAGGGGCGGCGCAGAGCCATGGAGGACGCGCTATCAAGTGGAGACGACGCCTTATACCTGGCCCGGGACGGCGAAGGGGTAGCGCTGCGGCAGACCGCGCCCAGCCGGATAGCGAAGTATTGCATTCCGGACCGAGAGCTCACGTGGAGAGAGTTCTCCATCGCGAAGATCGGGCTCCTAGAGGACATGGCCAGAGTCGCATGGCCGAAGAACATCGTGCAAGACTTCGTCGACTTCTTCTTCGCGATCGACAACCATCCGAGTCACTTCGAGGGTCCGCATGGGGACCCATGCCTTCTCCTCTATCAGGAGGAGGTTCGGAAACTCTGGCACCTCCAGTACGAACGCAACCCCGCAGAAATTTTCAACCCCGCGATCTTCAACAACGAGTGGCTGCAGCGGTTGACGCGGAAGTACCTGAACATACAAGCCAGCGAGGCCAACTATGCGTGCGTCCCAATCTCTCGGCTTTTCGCGATTACCCTCGCTGATGTTTCTTCGATCTTCTTTTATCTGTCCGTCGACCGCGTCCGGTGCATCAACCACACACGAACAACAAACGACGTCACTACGTCTTATCGCGACTCCCATCGGGACACGATCACTATCGCACCACGCGACCCCACGTTCCCTCAACGTGTACACGCGATCACTATCGCATCCGCACGCGATCACTATCGCATCCGCACGCGATCACTATCGCATCCGCGCGCGCCTCCCCCCCGCATGCCCACCGGCTGGGGCGTGCCCTCATCGCAACCGCACCTGATTGTGCACCGAAACGCCTCCCCCCCCCTGCCGTGCACACTCGGCGTCGCACAGCATGCGAAGAGCTGCACCAGCAGCCCCAGGGGGACCAGAGCGGAATGAGAGAAGGCGCTCCGCAAGGCTGGCAGCCCCATACGCGCGCAGCGAGGGAGATCGCAACGGGCGCGAAAGGGATCACCACGGCAAACCGCAGTCTTTTCGCCAGGGCACCAGCGCCAGCGCCCACGCGCCGTGTGCCCTCTGCCTCGGGCGGCACCCCCACAAGGTCCGATCATGCAGGTCCCGGACTCTCTGGGATGGAAAGATGAAGGCATACGCCGCAAGGGACGCCAAAGGACAGCTGGTCAACCCGAGCAGCAGAGTCCTCTGCATCGATTTCCAGGTACGCGGATGCAAGTGCGACTCGCACGCCGACGCCTATCGTCACTCCTGCTCCGGATGCAGAAAAATCAGTCACGGCGCTCGCGACTGCCATCTCGCAGAGGGCCAGTAAGGCACTCACGCCGCTGCGAGCCGGAGCCTGGCACCACTTGCTCGCACGTAGCGGCCTCCTGTACAAGTATCCCATTCTCTCTAGCTCCATTCAACACGGCTTTGATGCGGGCATTCGCCCGCCTACCTTTACATTCATTCCATCTAATAACATATCCATTGCCGAGCACCGCAAAGAGTTTGATGATATCATTCAGAAGGAATTCCGGAAAGGACGCTACCTCAGCCCCTACTCGAGGAGCGAAGTCGAAGAGGCACTGGGGCCGTTCCAATCATCGCCGTTATCTATCATCCCAAAGCCGCACAACCCGGCCAGGTTTCGACTCATCCAGAACCTTTCTTACCCATACCACCCGCGAGAGCGCGTCTCCTCGATCAACTCTGCCATCGACGCCACAATGTTTCCTTGCACATGGGGAACGTTCGTCGCCGTGGCGCTGTCGCTGGCACGGCTCCCGCCTGGCTCGCAGATTGCGAGTCGCGATGTGGCTGAAGCCTATCGCACCATACCGATCACGCCTGATCAGCGGCCGGGCCTGGTGGTGCGAATCGGCGAGGGAGACGCATTCGCAGTGGATACTTGTGACTGTTTCGGCCTGCGATCAGGCTGCGGGATATTCGGCGCAGCCGCAGATGCCTTCACAGACCTGGCAAGAGAGGGCGGCATGGGCCCGGTATCAAAATGGGTCGACGATTTCATTTTCGCGCGGGTCCGACGCAGCTGCCTGGAGGAATACAACCACAGGCGCCAGGGCTGGAAGCGCAGCATTGCGCAGCATGGGGGCGCGCGTCAAGATCGGAGCCGCCTATGGCACGGCGGGGCAGAGCTTCCGGACGGTCGCATCGAGGAGTTCAATGACGACATGGCCTTTCCGCTGCGCGACCTCTCGCAGACATCCAAACGTTCGCAGGTGGATGCAGAATTCTGCTATGCCATGTGTGATGTCGATTGCCTTTCCGGGGAGCTTGGTTGGCCGTGGGGCGCGGACAAGGATCATCAGTTCGCGGAGGTCGCGCTGTCCCGCACCCTTTTTGCAAAAGGTGCAGAAACATGTTGTTGCGCACGTGCCTGACTTCAGCTTTGGAATTTCCCACGAGACAAGACATGCATGAGAGCTGCGCTGAGGGAAGCGCAAAGTCAAAAAAATTATTCGTTACTGCACCACCATGTTCGGATATCTCATCGCAGCTGCTCGCCACATCGTCAATGCTCTTTACCCTGCCTATGTGCAGGAAGATGAGAATCACGTTCCTCGCTCCCTGCCACTCGCCATCAAGTACACACGCGAGACCGTGACCACTATCCAGGTTCGTGGTAGCGAACACGTTGAATACACTATGCGTCAATTTGAGCCGCCTGCCTATGATGGCCACATCTTCGACACCGATTCCCTTCGCATCCCTCCAAACGAGGAGACCTGTCTGTTCTGGATGACAGAACATCCACTTCTGCATGCACACTTCAAGCTTGGGGACATTTTTCAGTTACAGCTATACGACGGGCCCAACCAGATCACAGCAGATGTGCATTTCCAACGAGCCATCTACAACAATGTCGATGATGTGATTGTCATCCTTGCTACTCTAGCTCCTCCCGCTTCACTCCGCTGAGGTCACACCAAGCTTTTCCGATACTTCGCCTACGAGCACCACGCTATGCTCTCTATGGTTCTCAAGAGTGAAGGTCTCCCACTTGCCGAAGATCCATGGCATTATATTCCCATTTTCGTACCTGCCGACCACCTTGGACATACACATCATGACTTGCGTACTAGCACCCACCCCATCGGTCACGTCCGTCTCTACGCTGCAAATGGCATTAAGCAGAGCATGCGTCGCTTCACGCTTCCTTACGATGATATCCGCGGACATTACCCCAACCCCTTTCCGGTCACAGGACTGCTTCAGTACTCGACAATGTACGAATCTGGATCTGAGGTCGATCTCCCCATTAGGCCGCATCCCCATTGGACGGATCGACTCACATCAGACAACTTCGAAGAGGATGAGTCAGACTCAGACTCGTTGTCGGGCGGACAGCACTCATCGTTGGGTGGACAGCATCCGTTGTCAGGAAGACAGCACTCGTCGTCGGGCGTACAGCACCTGTTGTTGGGAACACAGCACTCGTCGTCGGGCGTACAGGACTCGTTGCCGAGCATATGTGATTTGTCATTGGGCATACAGCAATCGTTGTCAAGCGTACAGGACTTGTCGTCGGACAGAGGAGATTAGCTGTGCAGGGTACAGGGTTGAGGAGTCATGCAGGCTGATGAAGATAGGATGGTCACCACATGAGTCATTCTATATCGCCGCCGAGAACGAGGCTGCGTGGTTCATCAACGTGACAAGATTCTACCATCGGATGGTAGCTGGATGAAGGTGTTTGTAGTCAAGATACTCAGGATGCCATCGATTTCCAACATAGCCTCATAGCGTAGCCTCACAGCGCAGCCTTCATCTCCGTAACAACAGTGACTCATTCGATTAGTATATAAACAGTCCGTTTTCATGTAACGTAGTCGGGTTCTTGCGTCGTGTCAATTGCCTCATTCTGAATTGCCCTAGCACCGTTGCCTAGTGGGATTCAGTCTTACAGTTTCTGTTTTATCTCTTCAAGTCATCACGTCTAGCTATCAGTTCTCACACCTTCACCTCTGCTCTCTCGCCTTCGTCCCCTTCTTATCTATAAGACCGAACTCAACTGGATAGTCCTCAGCTTTCTGATAAGGCTCGGGAACCCAGGCGGAAGTCTCTTCACTTATAAAGTGACTTGCACTTCTTACGCGCGACAGCACCATTCACGGGTTTCGATTGGGACGTCCAGTCTCGTACGGTCGCCCTGGGCAAAGGGAAACAGGTCAAGTACATTCGCGCCATTCGGGACTTGAATGCGCAGCGAACGCACACGCTGGACAAAGTACAGAAGCTCTTCGGTAAGCTACTGCATGCGTCCCTGGTGGTCCCCGAGGGAAGAGCTTACCTCACCGAGCTGGAGACCATGCTCGGTGTCTTCGGTGATCGTCCTTTCCAGCCGCATACCCCACCCAAGGGCACAATGGCCGCTCTCCAGTGGTGGCTGGGCACCTTACAGCGAGCTGTACTCAGGCGGCCCATCCCCGGGCCCGTCGAACTGTTCGACTCCGGAGGCTATTCAGATGCGAGCTCCGGAGTGGGCATCGGAGTGGTGGTCAGGGGCCACTGGAGGGCCTGGAGGCTCCTCCCAGGCTGGGACGAAGGCGGCAGAGAGATCGGATGGGCCGAAGCCGTCGGCTTTGAGCTACTCGTTCGGATCATCAACCTCCTCGACAACGCAGGCGCCAGGCACATCAAAGTCTACACAGACAACCGGGGCATCGTCGAAGGCTGGTGGAACGGGCGAAGCCGTAATTGCCACGTCAATGGAGTGTTCAAGCGCATACACACTGAGGCCGTCATCACAGGGCATACTTTTCATACAAGATATGTCACCAGCGCCCGCAACCCCGCCGACACGCCCTCGCGAGGAATCTACCCCCCACGAAGCCTGCTGCTCCCTCCCTTACCCCTACCCGAGGCTCTCACAGGACTTCTCATTGACAGCTCGGAGCCACTCACGCAACGCGAGCGCGAGGCCAGGAGCGAGGGTTGAGCATACAAACCCCGGCCAAAGGAGCAGAACAGCGGCGAGGCCGTACGGAACTCGATTGCGCAGGCCGACCTCGAACAGCGCAACGAGCAATTCGCGCGAGCAAACTTCGGCAAATGGTGACCACGAAGCAGGGGCGGCGCGCCCGCAAGTCAGCCTTTGTCCCGCGTGCCCAGCCAGCCAGCGTTTGTTACTATGGACACCCGCAGGAGGCCGCACAACTTTCGGAGTCGACGGGCAGCCCTCCGGATTGGACCAGCGCGACCTTGATCGGGTGCGCGAAGTGATGGCCCAGGCGCTAGCCCTGTCAACCACAGAGACCTACGGCGCGGGGCTAGTCGCATTTCATGCGTTCTGCGACGAGCGCCAAATAGCAGAGGAGCAGCGGACGCCTGCATCGGCGACACTAATGCTCGCTTTTAGCGCCGCGCTGGCCGGCCTGTATGCGGGGTCGACGGTTGCAAACTACTTCTACGGCGTCCGAGCATGGCATCTCATCCACGGCGTCGTCTGGGACATGGATGATGCAGCCATGCAGTCCATGCTGAAGGCGACAGTCAAGCTAACTCCCGCGGCCTCGAAGCGCAAGAAGCGAGAGCTGTACACCGAGGATCTTATTTGTGCAATAAGGCAGCAGCTTGCTGTGGACCAGGGCCTTGATGCCGCAGTATACGCCTGCCTAACAATAGCGTTCTATGCCTGCGCGCGTGTAGGTGAGCTCACCGTGCGTAACCGCAGCAGCTTTGAACCTCGCACACATGCCAAGTGTGCTGACCTCGGGCTCGCCGAGGATCGGAATGGACTGCGGCAACAGACCCTACAGCTGCTGCGGACCAAGTGTGCCGTCGGCGGGGAGCAAATCCATTGGGGACAGCAGGACGGGATCACAGACCCCGTTGCCGCCCTTGCAAATCACCTCCGCGTCAACAGCTTGGGCGACAACGAGCACATCTTCGCATACAGGGCGCGGAACGGGCAAGTATGGCCGCTCACGCGCAAGGCCTTTCTGGACCGCATCCAGGCCGCCACCAGAGCAGCCGGCAGAGCTCCGCTCCAGGGGCACGGCATCCGAATCGGTGGGACTCTCGAATACCTGTTGAGAGGCGTCCCATTCGAGGTCGTCAAGACCAAGGGGCGCTGGGGAAGAGAAGCCTTCCTAGGGTATCTCCGGAAGCACGCGGAGATCCTTGCCCCCTACATACAGGCACGGCCGCAGCTGCAAGCTGAATTTATCCGATACACCATGCCTCCGGTTCGTTGACGGTAAGCACCGCTCCTATCCAGCGGGGTTCGCCTGCGCGACGTGTCGCAGTGCTCCTACCACTGTGGGTATCGCGGCTCACACACCCCGCACAGATCCCCGAACCGGAACGCCCCCTTTGGGGGCATTCGCCCGTCTCTCACCAACTTACAAGTAGTCTAATCAGTTTAGTACCACGCGGCTCAGACTTAATTGTATATGCCAATTTAAGTGCTCCGTTCTCTGACCCTGGGAACACGCAACAAAGAGACGGCATAGACTGTCCTACAGTGGCGGCGCGGCGCTGTCCTCGGTACGCGTCCTCGACTCCGAGTCAATGTACAAAGCTGCTCGTTCACATTCTCTTTCGGACGTCAAAAACACAGTCTACAAGGGGACCCGACGAACTGTTCTTCGAGGTATTCCCCATGCGCCCTGCGCACCTTCCTTTGCAGGACCGGGGACAATGCTAGTGACCAGATCAGTTATATAAAGCCTTGCTGTAGCACTAAAACCTAATGCACAAACACTTTGCAACTCGAGTCTCGCGCCTCGCGCCTGCCTCGCGCACAAACTGCAGCATCCGCGTTTGGATTGGGGTGGGCCCTCACACATGCTCGCATTCTGTATATATTGCAGCTACATCAGGGCATAAAGTTGCGCAACAAATTCTTGCCTTCATGCGGCCCTCGAACGTGCTCGCTCTGTATATATTGCAGCTAAATTACAACACATGTCGCGCAATGAATTCTTGCCGTAGCGGCACGTGCTCGCGTCTGAACTCCAGGGTTGCTCGATACCGCAAATCTGCATGGCCGCACACCAAACAATGCACCAATTCTGGAGTCAACCATCAAGGCGATCGAGGACTGGCTCTATATTACAACTGTACGTCATTATTGTCATAAATACTCCCCCCATCACCGAACGTGAATGGTGATTACCTTAGCTTCAACACAAGAACCAGATGCAGTGTCAATGATATACTTCAGCATTATCAAGCAAAGCTTCTTCACGGTTGGCGATGCTCTTGGCTACAAATTCCAGTACCGGTGGTAGGAGCGCCGCGCGCAGGGCAGCTGGACCACAGCTACAAATCGCGGCAACAACAGGTATACCGGGGATTCAATCTCATACTCGCATGCGGACACACCTCGTCTAGAAATTGCAGCAACGGCACGTGAAAGACCTACGGCATGCGTATATACATCAGCACGTTCTCGGCGACAAACTTCAGCAGAGGTTGTACTGCGGTTGAAGCTAAGGTACGTCAAGTCTCGTTCACACCGAAGTATGACCTGAAGAGAGACGGCAGCAACACTAGGAGCCTCGCATGCAGGTACAAATGTCAGCACGGCAGCAGGACCGAGGAGCACCTTCATGCCGTGGACGCCAGTACTACATTACAGTCCTTGTTGATTAGCACACGGGATGCATCCACGCCCTGCTTCGACCTCGACGAGAAACGCCAGCAATTCCGCGAGGTTATTGTACGCCTCGAAAGCTCCCTTACCTATTAACACTTGCAAACCAGGAGGGGGACGGCGTCGCGCGACACGGACTTTGGGGAGAAACACCAGCAAGGGTGCGAAACGCCAAGCTGCCATGACACCAGTATGCCGTCATGATCCGACGAGAAACGCCAGCAATCCCGCATGGTTATCGTACGCCTCGAAAGCTCCCTTGCTCACCTCCCTTGCTCATAAACGCTTGCAAACCAGGAGGGGGACGGCGTCGCACGACCCGGACTTCGGGGAGAAACGCCAGCAAGGGCGCAAAACACCGAGCTGCTGCGATGCCAGTACGTCGTCCTGGTCCTCGGCGATTAACTCTGGCGGACCTACAAGTAGGGATGCATCCGTGCCCGGGTTCGACCTCGAAGAGAAACGCCAGCAACTCCGTAAGATGATCGTACGCCTCGAAGGCCATAACTCGGTGCTCCGTTGCTCATAAACTATTGTGAACCACGAGGGAGGACGGCCCCTCCCGACTCGAACTTTGACAAGAAACGCTAACACTGTATTACTTATTCATGAATTGTTCAGCCCACGATTCCGTCTTTCTTCTCCATTCTTGCGACCTCTGTTGTAGCGCACAGTATCCATATACGCGAAAATGTGTTTTGCTCAGCTTAACGATGATTTTGTCTACGTCGTGGTACAGCTCGGACGCGTATTTTTCTGACTACAATAACATCAAGAAAGACCGACAATTAAGAATTATTCGAGCAATTTAAGGTTGGGATCCCATCCGGCGAAAATCGAGACGCAGGTATGTGATGAGAGGAGGTACGGTTGAATCAGCCCACTTGCTACACACGGGCGCGCCTGACAAGATGAGTATGAGTGCCAATTGGGTGACTGGGAGTGCGACATGCACTCACTTGCGGGGAGGTCCCTCGTCATGGCTTCCAGAAAGACCACTGCTGGCAGCCGTCAGAGCCCAGCATACGTCTTCGGCACCCGTGGCCAGCTTCTGACGCAGCTCCGGTACCTTGGTGGAGAAATAGAGGCACACAAGAGAAGTGACGAGGGTGACAACACCGAATGGACCATTCTTGAGCTCGGGATATCGGACGCCAGTCGCCGGGGGCGTGCAGGAATGAGGCATAGCGGTTCCCCGCCACCTTGGTTGAAGAGCCGCCCACCAAGAGAACCATCCCACAAGATCTGTCAACGCGTTATCTGACTTCATGTTGTTGAAGTCACGATTCTCGCCTGCCATCCATGTCTTGATGATGGTAGGACGGTTCGTGGCCTTTGTACGGACCTGAAGAACACATAAGAACCGGGGACTCCCGATATGCAGCAGTACTTACGTTTCGTACCACAAACTGGAACTTGGCTTCGAATACGATGAAAGCCTTCAGCATGTCCAGGAATTCGCCATGAGAGCCGTAATCGTGAGATCCTATGAACCCGACCGCAGCCTTGAAGTAGGGAGGGAGACTGTCGTCAATCATAATACTAGCGACGAGCTCGAGAGTTGGCAATTCCAGATCTAATGCATTGCTCTTGGATCCCGCAAGCTTTGCGCTGGCTTTACGGGTACGATTGGACTTCCGGGCAGGGACAACACCTTGCACGACAGTTGCCGTCGCCGGTCGGGGGGCTTGCCGAGATCTCTCTCGCTCCCGCCGCTCCTCCTCGTCAAGATCTTCCGCTGTAACACCCAGCGGTTGTTCATTGTCAACCCCGTCGCCATTTTCATCCTCGTCCTCGTCAAGGTCTATAAGCCCGCCACCGGGTTCAAGAGAAGAACCTAGGCGCTTGCGTGGCACCAGGGGGGGCGCGGACGGCACGGGGGCGGTCAAAGGTGACGGCGTTGCGGCAGTGGGAGTGGCGGTGGCGGGAGCAGGCGCGGGCATGGGCGGCGTGGGAGCAGGCTCTGCGGTGAGGGGAGCGGCCGCGGCCACGGGCTTGGTGGCGGGAGGTGCTGCGGCAGGAGCGGGAGCGGGCTCTGCGGCGGCGGGAGCAGGCGCGGGGGCAGGCTCTGTGGTGGGGGATGTGGCGGTGGCGGTAGCAAGCACGGGCTCTGCGGCGGGGGGTGCTGTGGCAGCGGTGGCATGCGTGGGCTCCGCCGCGGCCGGCGCAGGCGCAGGCTCTGCGGCGGGGGGAGTGGGCACAGGCGCAGGCTCTGCGGCGGGGGGTGCTGCAGCAGGAGCGGGAGCGGGCTCTGTGGCGGTGGTAGCAGGCGCGGGCACAGGCTCTGCGGCGGCGGGGGGTGC